CATTGCTTTCCCTGGTAAACTTCGTGGCCTCCCCATGTATGAAACAGGTACATAATTTGCTACATAAATTCTGGCAGAAAAAAAACCCATAATAATAATAATAATAATAATAATAATAATAAAAAGCCCAGTAGTTCTGGTGATCTCATACATGAGGTCAGCCATTAACTGCACTGCATTATGGCAATATAGTGCCACTGCCTGCAGCTCGCTACAGCAGAGGTGGGCCCAACTACTAGGGCTTGCTTACAACAGGCCCTACATTTGTGACCATGTGCTTGCAAGCCCTGCTGAAGGGACATGGCAAGACAGAAGGGGCACTTGTGAGGCCAGGTAAGATCAGACAGCGCAAAGTGAAGTTTGGTGAGATGTGGCCTGTTCCCAGCTGCCAATAACTTCAGGGGGACTTGTGAGGGTTTGGCAAGAAGGCGAAATGGCCATGGCTTCAAACAAGTGTTAAAGGTGCCAATTACTCAACATGTGCCCAGAACTGTTGGTGTTCATGGAAAGGAAGGTTTTCACCATTTCACAAACAGGAGGTAATGATAAGTAAAACTAGTATCCCACTCTTTACTTAACCTCAAATTATCTTTAAGGTCCAGGAAAATAATCTAATCGTTAGTGAGCTTTGAAACAACAAAAAATGCCTTAAAGAAAAGCCATCCTGGAAAGTAGTATTTTCAGTGTAATTCAGTAATTTCAGTGTTAGGGAAGGGACTGTAACACTCTTAGATTTGGATGCCATCTAGTACATTCAAGGAGGTACTTCTACCTGAATGTGACTAAAAACTGTCTGGAAACAAATATTATTGTGATTGTTGCCTTAAGGGACTTGAAAGCCTAATGCTATTTATAAATTTAACAAGACAGTTTTTCTACCTGTCAACTCTATGAACTCAACCTAGTTCATCTGGACATGTAAAAACCTAGAAAGAGCTTTTCAGTTTTTAAATATTTAGTTTTGCCTGGCAAGGCAAATTTTATGAGTGGAACCAATTTCCTGTGCTTGCTGAAACAGAGAGCACAACTAGTTGCTTTGGACAAAGAATGGCTCGGGAAATGCACTCCTTTTCCTTGTGAATGACCATAGACTAATGGATCTGCAGAAAATGTTGCACTGGAATCATGCAGACATGCAGAAGTAGATGACAAACCTGCTGCATGGAGACTGGCATATATTCATCTTCATGCTGTACATGGCAGTAAATTAGACATGACATTCATTCCTTCACTCTGAAAAGAGAAAAATTCAAAATATCCTGTCCACATGAAATCTCTACTTTTTCACACTTCTTTCCATTTGAAACCAGCACAGGAATAAAGAAGTTGCCAGCTCTATTAAGGAACAGATTGAAGTTAATAATATTTACTCTCTGTAACAACTAAAAGCATGTTTGTAAACATAAAGCAATTTCTAAACACAGAGAACTGAGAAGTTCCAACTTAATGAAAGACACATGTTGGTTGGTTGTTTCCTAAAAACTAGCATGTTCTCCAGTGGGAAAAAATAGCATTTTCTGTGAGAACTTTTTTCTGCCTTTTTGTAGATAAAAGTGTTACAGTTACCTCGAATGTCTGAGGAATGCTAAACTGGCCAGTGAAGAGTATAAACCTGCCATATGCATTTCAAAGAATGAGCCATAGGAAAAAAAAATATTGCAGATAGTGTTATTCTGACCAGGAAAATAGCACAAAGAGAGTCAGAACCTGGGGTCTGCTGATAAATTTTTCCAAGTACCCAAAAAACCCAAACAACAAAAACAAACAAGAAACTTTTATCTCTATTAGATGTGGCATTTTCTATAGGATTGATGATGCTTCCCCCTCTCTACTGGCAAGATCCTGAAAGGCAGTACTGAGAGCTCAACCTCCCTGCCCACTGGCTGACTCGGAGATTATTGGGGAAGCAGTAAGACCCCTCCAACTCAGTGCATTGGCTGTTTGAAGAACAGAAGCCTAATATCATGCTTTAAAAAAAGGCTGTTTAAAGGGCTTGGGGTACACAATTAAGCTTAAACTATCACACTGAAAATGCTCTCAGACTACACTGACTAGCTGAGGATCGTCACAGCCCTTGCAAGCTGTAGTAGAGCAAAGGAAGCAGACAGATCTGGACATGTAAAAAAAATCTCTTGATTTCCCGTGGTAAGCTTTTCAAGCTGGTACAACAGCTCTGCTGCCTTCCACTTTTTCCCCACACGTTCATGCAGCACTGCAGCTGGTGACAGCACACACATTGTTATTTAGACACAGACATTGCACAGCCCCTCAGGAAAGCTGTAAACTTCAAACCAGGGAGTTGCACTTCTGGTATTGAAAGATATTTGTGTCTTAATACCACTGGCAGTGGCATGATTAAAAGTAGTGCTTCTTGGTTTGCTGCAAGCCATTTTAGGAATGCTAGCTTTACTAAAGTAAGAGAAGAAATACCAAACTAAACAATTTAAACATGCATATTCACTTTTTTATGTCAGGGGCTGATTTCTTCTGAAAGCAGAGCTCTGACATTGCTAGAAGTGTGATGAACTCAGTAGTGGGCCCTAGGGCTTGTCCAGTTTTCTTAGCTGAAATGAAAAAAAACAGCTTAATTCATAAAACTAAACATCAGCCTTTAGAAATCAGCAGAGCTACTTACAGAAATCCGAAAATACATCAGAAAGTAATTCCCTCTGTAAACCAGTAAACTACAATAAGTGATCATCAAGACTAATAAAAAAAGACCAACCCCTTTTAACAGCGTGGAAAACAAACCCTTGTCTCAGTTATTCTTCTTGCTCTGAAATCCCCTCTTGCTCCCTGGGGTGCTGAGCAGTCCAGATCCTCCAAGATGTGCGTGAGAAGAAGCCGTCTGTGACTTGCTCCTTTTCCTCTCACACTCCCTTCCCCCCAGTCTCCAGTGCAGACACCGCCTGGGATCCCCGCCAGCAATCTGGAACAGCCGTGCAGGTTTGACATCAATTCCAGGCAGAGTACAAAGTCCTTATTCTTGAAATATTGGCACAGTGTGGCTACTGCCTTTTCTAGATTCCCTATCCAATTAATTCTGCGCAGATTTGTATAAAGCCTGTCATCGCTCTACTTCGGTGCCTCAAAAGAGATGCTATAGATAATAACAATAATAACAAGAAGTGCTATAAATAACAGCAACAGCATTGGGGTTTTGTTTTTTCCATCCTGCTTTTCCAGCCTCCCAAGCAGGATAACAGGACTAGCTTATAACAGAATACTCTCCCTTCTGTCACATTGTCTCTTCTGTGGTGCATTTCCAGGAAAAGTACCTGCCTGTACTGAAGAAATTAATTGCACTTTCTTTCCTCAGGCCCAAGAGCTAAAAGTTTAGTATTCCCCCTCCATGCTCGCACATCTTTCAGAACTTAACTCTTGTTATAATGCACTTTACCCTTCAAAAGATCTTAAGCAATTACTTAGAGGAGCTCTTATCCGTTTGTTTGTTGACATTTCAGTTCTCCAAGTTACTTGAAAACAGTGAATTTAACTGTGTTCCAGGGAAGCCAGTAGGAGTCACTGAGGTGGAAAGATGCAGCTTAAACTATCACATTCATATAATACATTGGCAGGGATAACCATGGCTGGAGGCAAGTTTTTATTTGTTGTTATTCAGTTATTTCTATAAGTTGTCAAATTTGGCTACTTTTACTAATATCCATATGACTACATTACTCGTTTTGTCTTATTACTTAAAAGCTTGTGATGCTGCTGGTGCAAAGATTTTTCTTGAAAAATATAACTTTTCTCAAAAATTACATCATGTCTTGGGAAAGATGGATCTTTAATACTTCTACTGTTGGCAACTTTTAAAGATCCATCTGTCTTTGGTCCAAATTATGACTAAACTTTTCTGTCATCTTTTCTAGGCTGCTTACATCTTTCTCACCATGTGATCACTACTGAAGATGTGCCTATGCTGCTGCTGGCATGCCTTACAAAAGAAAACAAACAAAAGACCCCATGAAACCAACCCAACTCCCCAATATCTTTAATTTTTTTCCTGATAACAGAACTCTATCTGGAAGCAGAAGAGGGTTAGCACAGACCTGTGTGCTAGTACAGACCTTGCACCCTGTTCCTCACCACTATGTTAGTGACTCAATACAGAGGTAACAGCTGGGATTACTTATCTTCAACAGAACTAAGCTTTAAACCAAGATTATTTTTTACTTTCTCTTACAAAAAAAAAGGACCTTTGTATCAATGAAGCAGAAAGGAGATGATTTTTATCTCTGCATTTTGAGCCCTGCAGTATTTCCTGCTCTTATGCTAACTGGTTTTTCACTGTGCCTAAGCACAGGAAGCTGCTGTTTACTCCCTGCTACGTACAGGCAAATTCTCTGCCATCAAAAACTCATTTTTTGAGTAATTTTGTGCTTTATACCACTACTTTGTCTGGCTTTTCACACATATCTGTGTACTAAAAGCAAGCACTGGCATTCATATAGTCACTTCTGTCTTTGGAAAGTTTTCAGAGTGAACTTACAGTAGAGAAGAACATAAATACTGAAATGACACAAACAGAAATTTGTAAAGTTGATTCTATGTCACACTTATGAAAAAAGACAAGTAAAGCATTTGCAGGGGCATTCCTTGTGGGAAGGGAAGGACACAGGACAACAAAAACCAAACAAAAATAATATGTTTCCTCTTACTCAATTAAACTCCAAAGTTCTCTAGAATTTTAGCAGCATGCTTATCATAAACTCTGACTTCATCCACTCCAGCAACAAACCCAGTCTTTACAACAAGCCAAAGCCCTAAAATCCCTGCAATGTCACTGCAAACTTCAGTGTCACAAACTTCAAAGTCACATCTTATTAGAAAGTTTGGCTAAGATTCTGGTTACACAACACTGCAGGATTTTTGTTTTGTTGGTTTTTGTTTGGGACTTGGTTTTGTTTTGTGTTGTTGTTTGTTGGGTTTTTTTTGTTTTTGTTTGTTTGCTGGGTTTTTTTTTGGGGGGGGGGCTGCTATTTGGGGTTTTTTTAACTAGGATTGGCAAGACCCTTCTATAGGAGTTGTAGTTTGTAAACTTCTATAA